ACCTAATATGAGAAGACAGCCTACTTTGCTTGAGAGTTATAAGAAAGTCCTCTCCGGATTCAGCAGAAAAAGATTTACCTCATGGTCATCCTCACGCTCCTGCCTAGTTAAAAGACCCTAGTAATAGACCATAAGAACCACTAAGGATGCATAGGATGATTATTTTTTCAGAGGGTCCAGAAATGTGTTATCCCAGTCTTCACAAGCTCTGCCCCCTGAACAATTGGAGGAGGTAGCTCCAGGAGGCTCACTAGACCCTTTAGCAGTGCAGACAACAAAAGGCTGATAATGAGTACTAAATGAATTAACAGGGGCAGGATGGTAGAGAGACTTAATTATGGCTTAGCATAATGTGTCTATTCTCAAGAGATGTCCTTGAAAAGATTCTTCTGAATAACTGATATAAATGTTTTTTTGTTTTTTTTTACTTTCATGAGATTATTTAAGATGACTTTCCTTTGTGAAATGTTTTAATTTAGTCATGGACACATTTTTTTCTGAATGCTTTTAAACTCCTTCAGTTACATGTACAACACTACGAGGCTGTCTACCCAATTTGAACAGCAAATGCTGTGGTTTGTTCAAAATGAGATCTCTATTAAAGAGATGCGATTTCTCTTGAAAGCACATAGAAACCCAAAGAGAATTCTGTAATAACAATTACTATAACCGTAAAGTGTTTTTTGAATAATGTCTGTCCTGTGTTGCTGTTTTTCTGTCTATTAGTAAATCATTATCATGGCTAAAGTATGGCAAATAACATGCTGTGCTTAAAACAGCAAGAGTAACATCCCTGAATTTGCAGTCACAACAGACTGTAAGTATCAATTGACTTGCTTTTGCAGACTGTATTTTAGTTGTCAAAATTAAAGAATAGCTCAAAATACCCCTTTCCACTCTACCAAAGTCACCTGAGGAAGGTAGAAGGCTCTGGGAAACAGAAAAGCCTATACGCTAAAATATAAAACAAGTATCACGACAAATTACAGCCCGGATCCAAATATGCATATGATAGAAGAATTATTTGAAATCGATTTAGAAATTGGATTTCTGGTTTTAGTTTTGCCAAAACATCTCCTTAACTGTCCTCCTGAACTTTCCTCCATCCTACACCCCCACTGGGATTTGCTTTGCACTGTTTCGGATGCAAGAGAACTCCTTCAAAATTCATGGAGGCACCTGTACTCTGAACCCTATGCAGGGATGAAGGCAAATGAAAACCAACAAGAGGTAAGATTTCTTGGAAATCTCCATTTCAGTAATGTGCTGCTTCAATACTTAAAACCAGTCTAGTAGCAATGTGGACAAGACGGCAATGGGAGGCAGAGGAGGAAAAAGGGCAGCGATGAAGGATTTCCTCAATGCCACAAGCAGTGATTCAAGTGCCTAATTACGCGTTTTGTTCCCTAAAATGCAGGCCAGGTTTCACATGGAATTCTACTCCGGGCCATTGAATATCCCAGCTAGATAAGGGCATCTAGTACTTTGCAGAGATGTAAGGAGGAAAAAAAAGTAAACGCTACGTACGACTTAGGCACCCTACCAGTGAAAAAATGGAAACTGGAGCAAAAGGGAAACTGGAGCAACAGGAGGAAGTGTGCAAAGCAAACGCTTCTCTTTTTAAAGGCGGTTCTAATGCCCTGCCTGTGGTAGCGCCAGCCCATTTAAAAACAACTGTCTCAGTCCAGATTGTAAGGCTGGGGCATTTTTGCCAGCTCTAGCGCCTTTCAACTTCCTTCAATTGTTTGCTTTATAAAATAGGTTTCACTGGAGGGCAGCTACATGCATTTAAGCAAAAGTCAGCTTTTTCGTCTGCAATTGGAAGAACACCACTATCTCAAAAGCCTTTGACACCCCATATTCCTACCTCCTCTTCTGTAACTTCCAATCACTTTCTTTCAGAGATGTTCACAAAACTGCTGCTGGGTGCAGATACCAGCTGTGGCCAGTAAAAGCAGGAAGTGACACAGTCCTCATTGAGAGCCTACTGTATGAACATAAATTCCACTTTAGAAAAGGAGGAACTTCTAACAAATGCTTAGGAAAAACATTCTGTTATCTGTGTTACATAAAGAGCCAGAATCCCGTTCCTAGACTGCCAGCCTTCATCTTTTCTTTGTATCTTGCTATCAACCAGAGAGATTGAAGTGGGGAGGGGGTAGAGTTCCAGTGCCAGAAAAGTCCACTGCTGTAGGACATTTGGCTGTGCCAGTGTCAGCCTTTTTTCCACTTCAGAGCTCTGTGATGTTGACAGCTGTCGTGGGCCGACCGGAAGGCTGACACTTGCTCTAACAGCACTATAGCAAGGAGCTAATGGGCCCCAAAAAAAAAAAAAAAAAAAAAAAAGGTGCTGCTGCAGGAGGAATTCAAGCCCGTCGTTGGAATGGACCACATCTCTATTTAGAAAAATCCTTTGGTGATAGGAAATGAAGTGAAGCTATTGGACTACAGTCCCCTTTTCAACCCTGTACTACTGGCTGAAACCAACCTGTCAACCAGTAACCGTCCCTCTCAACGGAAGGAACACTTACTTGAGGCCTACGACAGGTACATTCTTTAACTACTTTTAACAACACGAAAAGCTTAAACATGTGAGAATTGCTAACACCAGCCATTTTTCAAGTGTGCTTTAAATTAACCTGGCTGACTGATCTCTTCTTTTGTTGAATTACTTTTCTGAAGGTTTATTAAGTGAAAATACCTGAAGGAAGGGATGAACAAGTACAGCAGCCAGCACATAAGGTGAGGAGAGATGGAGACACACGGCTGGAGGTAAAAGGAAGTACTGCTGAAAAGTTAACAGCAAGATGTCCCCTTTGTATTTTCAGAAACACTGACCTGTCAGTGTTTTCACTGCAGCCAGAAGAACTTCCTTCTCCCCACCCCCATCCCCTGCTGCATGACCTGCCTTTTTCTTGTATCGGCTCAAGTACTATTCATCTTCCTCTATCTCACTGTGAGCCCGGTCGCCTGCTTTAGTGAGCTGAACTGGCTCACAGAAGGCTGCAACCAGCACCAGAACCGGTGCAAATTAAGAGGGGGAGAATGGGGGTACACAGCCAGTTGTGGGGGAAGAGGGATGAGGGGACCACCCCATCCCCATATGTGTGGTGTTACAGCAATCCATCACGTCTCATGGAGATGTAGCCTTGGATTTGCAGAGAAAATAAAAACAAGCTGTTTTACGGCCACACGTGCCAAAAGCAGAGGAACAGCTCTTTAAAATTCTCTCTCTTATCACTTTCTGAATCTGAGCATTTGCAAGGTAAGTATATAAGCACAACAAGAAGACTCAGGAACACTGATTTGCACATCTTTATGCTTCGTATTTCCAGAGGCAAAGCAAAAAACAAAACACAACAAAACAAAAAACGCCAGCATCTGAACCACAAAACTTCTCTATGAAAAGATATAAAGTGTCAAGCCAGCTTTGGCAAAGTTCAGGGGAAAGAGGACAGAGAGCAGTTAAAAATCTAACACACCATTTGCTTTTTATTTTTAACCAGGAAAAATAAAAGTACACAAAAGGATGGAACGGCATTTTTGTTCACCTTAAGCATATGAAATGGTAGTGAAAATAGATACATAGCAGGAGTGAGGTCAGAAGTGTCAAGACTGGTTCTAAACATTTCAAAATGTCATGCTAAAGAGATTGGGAGAACCTTTTAAAGCCATCATAAATAAGGCTTGATTAATATCAGAGTGAGAATTCACACTACACACAAGTTTGATATGGACTGAGAGAAGTCATTTTTCTCATATGTAATCTATCTGCAAGTGTCAGCTGTGACGGCTACAATAGGGTTAACACAATGCCATTCTCTGATTTTGAATGAGTTCACTGACACAACAAAGTTGCTTTCCAGACTTATTAGACAGTAAGTGCAAACTGTTGCACTACTTTGTAATGCTAAGCCCATTTTCAGAGAAGAATCTTAATAAGGCTGTAGGAGAGGCAGCAGCATTTGAGATATTAAAAACCAGTCTAGCACCAAGCAGCTCCCAAAGTCTAATCCTGTACCTGCCCTTTGGTGAATGCCTTTTGAAAAAAAAAAAAAAACAAAACAAAACAAAAAAATCACAGTATACTGCAATGAAAGTTGCAAATGCTCAGCACCCTGGGGAAAGAAAAAAAAAGTCCTTAATTTCCCGACACTATGCACATGTTTGGGATGTGAGTTAAGACCAACAATTTCAAGGATGAGGACAACATGCAACCCATTACAGTGCTTACAGGAACAAATTAACCAGGGGCTACTCTTAGTCAAAAAAGGGGTAGTGTGGCATCCTCCAGCATATTCGGGACTGTGGATTACTGCGGTATTTTTGAAAAGCAGCCACACTAAGCAACACATCCGTTTCCTGATCCTGACAATATTCAGATAATATACATCGTCAGTGCAGCACTGTTAGTTCAGCAGTGCCTTCCCGGCAAAGCCTCCTCTACGCTTCTAGTCAACTCTGTTAAAGAATTCTTCCCTTTTCCCTCAGCACACACACACGCTGGTAAAGGTTATTCCAAAGGAAAAGGCTCATTTACATACCTCACCAAAGGGATCCAGGAATTAGAGTTTATGCAGTGCTTTGAAGGCATAACAAATAAAGGTTGGAAGATTTCCCAGGCTGAAATATGCATCTTATTTTTCTCTGTACAAGACAGCCTAATTCTGCTCCTTCTGCAATCAATGAAGACTATTTCTTGGGGATCAACTGAGCCAATGCTAACTGCCCTGACAAAGCTTTGCCTTAAGCCTACCACAACTTGAACTTCATTCATTCTCAGCCAGATTCAATTCCCTGTCGCCCTGTAAGCACAAGACAGCCATTGCAAAAAGTTTTTACACATTTTAAATGCATTTAACCCTGCATCCTTTCCTTCTGTGAAGCAATCAGATTTCATAAACTAAATGCATTCTAATTCTGAGATGCTTGCATTTTCAATACATTTAAAAAGTATCAAGCTGAAAAGATAATGAAGAAAAACAAAATATGACCTCATCTGTATGACATCTTCTTTATTGACTTAGAATTCTGAGGAGTCTTACACACAGAATTAGAAAGCATTTAGTTTTGAAGCTGAACTTCTTGGCCTAGCAAAGTGAAAGCAGATTTTCATGATTTTTAGGCAGGTACTTCCACAACTTCAAAATAGTCATTGGGCAGAATAACATAGCCTTTGCCTGCCAATATGTCTTTTTCTTTCTGAAACTGAACAATCTCTCGCAGTTTTTCAATTTGTCTTTCCTGACGCCGGCATCGCTGTTGCGCTGTCTTGAGCTTCTTCCGTAGTTTTTCAACTTGTTCCTCCAGCTGCTGAATTCTTTTTCGCTGATGAACCGTATCCTCTACGGTATAGTTGTGATCACAAAAAACAGCAAGATTGCTAGGCGTCTGGAGAGGAGGCATCAATAATCCAATACTTGGATCTACAAATCTTGCATCTATTTGAGACAAATGAAAGGAAGGAGTTGATGGAGATGGCGGTAGTACAGGAGCTGCTGCTGCTGGTGGTGGAGGCGGCGGCGGCGGTGGCGGCGGCGGAGGAGGTGGTAGTGGATCTTCTGGTTGTTCTCCAAATTTTTCAGGCTAAAACAACAAAATAAAAGTACATTTTCATGTTCATGCTCTTCACAAAACAACTCCAATACTACAGCCCCCATATAATGTAAACAACCAGGACAGAAATTAGTAAAACAAATTCCAAAGGCCTATATTTTCAAAACTAACAGTTCTGGGCCTGTTAATTCTCAACTGGCTACATTCTGAAAAAGCTTCGTTTTCAAGGCTCCTTGAAGCTCACAAGTCCCTGATGTCTTGAAGAAAGCAGAAACTGAAGAACTCAGAAGTCAATCTCACTTTTGAACACTTAAGCCAAATACATCTACAATTAGATGAGAAGCAAGAACACACGCTGCAGTTCTGTAAGACGGAGGTTAGCTGACCTAACAACTCATCGTTGCCATCCCGTTCCCCTTTGTTCCTCCTTCTTTTTGCTGTTTCTTACTACAGTTTAGTTTGAGCCTGTCAACCAACTTCACTCACCAACTCAGCAGAAGCAGATAATCTTCTGAGGAGGTAGAATAAGAATCCTCTCACTGAGGGGACTATAAGTTGGCAGAGCAGGAAGGCAGACATAACAAGGTCTGCTTCTTAAGGACTGGAAGTGATTGCCTCACTGTTTTGGGACTGCAGCGTAAGGGCTAGGCTTAACGAGACACGCTGAGCCAAAATGCCCAGCTCCGTGACACCAGAAAGGGAAGATACCGGAGGAGGGAAAGGTAGACCTGTGTTTACCCCTTTGCTGCAGCATGGTAAGTTGGTAAGATGACAGAAAGCTACTCACTTCCCCACCATCACTGCAGAAAGCTTCTGCCATTTTATCAAACTAAAGCAGTTCAACCAAAGACATGTTCTGAGCTCATACAAGGAAGGCGTGAGAAACAGAACTGCACGGCTAGCAGATGCGATGGAGAAGGGAGAAGCACGATTCTCCTATGTGAAAGCGGCAAAATACTAGATTGTCTCAGCAGCAAATGAAGCTGCAGTCTGTACCATTCTACCCTTGATAGGTTCAGTGCACTTGCATCGTTCAGGATGACACAGCTCTCTCACCATTTGAGTGGAGGCCAGGGGAGAGAATCACAGTCCCTCTGCCCCAAAGGAACAAAACTAATTCAGAAATGCTTCTGTTTACATGATGATTTCAAAAAGCACTCTTCAAACAAAAGAGCTTGCATATTGCTTGTTAAAGGGAAAGCCTAGAAGTTTTCAGTGAAAAAGGCACCGAAACCAATTTTCTAACTACCTATCTCCAATATCATTACTACCCATAAAACCATAAGGACATTCACAATGCGTTTTGTAGGTTATGAGTATTGTCTGCAGCTCCCAAGTATTAAGTTCCTAAGACTCAAAGCTCATGTCATGAAGTTCCTTGAGCTATCCTTCATCTGGTAAGACATGATATGCAAACAACCTAACACTTTATTTGGAGGGCCTAGCTGCCATTCTTGCACAATCTGCAATACTTATCAGACAGTAAGTGAAGAGGCAGTTTTGCAGTTGGCAATGCATGGGAACTCTCATATGTGCTCAAACACTGCTGATCACTTAAAAGTACAAAACAGCCATCTATCAGTCTTAGCTCTCAACTATAAGAAATCTCTGCTAATACTGAGCCCATCTGATTCACATAGGAAGAGTCTAAACAATTTGATCATATCAGCTACCGCTCTCAGACTCCTGCCAGGAAAATTACAAGGCAAAAGCATAAGCTGCAAAGAGAAACTCATGCTTGTTGGAAGCACATGCAAAAATCTGGTAGTTGCCAGACAGCTGAATTCACAGAGACACCTATTTCCAGCTTATATAGCACATGATATCTTTATAAAAATGTTGTTATCACAATGTATCACAGAGAGCAGCTCGTTCATATCACTGACACATCACGAGTGAATTCTAATTATTTCTTACAGACTGTAAAAGATTCTCCTTAGATATTACTAGGAAAAAATGCAAGAATTATTTCAAATTATATGATGCTAAAGATAAAAAGTTGTATTTCAAAAATCAGTGTGAATCCAATTCCAGAAACCCAGCAGCCATTACCACCAACCTTTCTTATTAATTTAAGGTATGTGGCAACTCATTAAGATGGGCTGTGAGATAAAGCAACTAGCACTACATCCTCCCCCATAACTACGAGGTGCCCTTTTGTGCTTTTGTAGAGCAAGAATGAAACGCAGGAACACGACTCAATACTGATCCTGCTGCACCTATCCACTTTTTGCAGAGGACCGTATATACCAATCCAGCCTTTAGAGTGTGAAGAACTTTACAGTCAACTTCACACAAGTGACAAAAAAAGTGTGTAGTAGGGATACTGGGAAAGCGTAATTAAACAAAAAACTTAATACAACTCTATTTACTGGAAATTGTCTTTCCTTATATGCCTTCTGCTTGTATTCACTTGTCTGCTGCTTTTCATTTTCCAGATACTTCCCTTTTTACTTCTGCATCATTTTCAACACTGTATATAAAACCAAAAATCAAACAAGCAAAAAACAAGTTTTCCTCTGTGCACTTCATCCCACTACATTCTGCCATTCCCCAGATCTACCATCTCCAGTCTTTCTTTGCCCCTTCCTCTATTAAAAAGAGCGGGAAGAGACCTACTACCGTATATCTTTTTACGGAAATCAGGAATCGATCTTCCTAATTCTCACCTTGCAGTTATTAGGTCAAGAAGGAAGAGCTAATAACCCATTCTCCTCTCATGGTAAATTGCTTTAGTAGTACAGTGAGGAGAACAATACATATCACAGGGGAATATCATCAGACGTTCAAAGACAATAAGAGACCAGCCTGTCCTATGAGTACAAGGCAACTGTTAAGACAGAGGCGGGTTTAGCACAGACAAGCATCACGTGCAGCTACTATGCTGCCCCTCTGTCTACCTGTCATTTTACCTTGGCTAACGAGAGGCCAGAGTGCTTTGGAAAGGACAGTTAAATCTCAGAACGGAGCTGAACCAAGGTTTTTACGTTAGTAGTAGCCACCAGTCAGCCTAAGAGAATAAAATGTAGTTTGGAAATAGTATTATGGAAGGCTGCATAACACTCTGAACATACCAGAAATACAGTGGCACAACTTCATTATATGGCAAAAAATTATTACTCTGTTGCTGTGATTGTTCAGCACAAGGCTTTAACCAAAATTACAATGCTGTAATTTAGTTTTTGTGCATGCACACAAAAGAAGGGGTCGGAGTCATTTCATCTCTACAAATGCTCTGGGTGCTCCCAAGGCTCAGATAGCCTGCCTCTCCGCTCCTCTCCAAACACTACCAACAGCTCTTGAACTTGTTTAGCTAACCCAGATTTCTCTTTTACAGCCCTCCAAGTACCTCTAACTGCACATGCTCCGCAGACAACGTTTACAATCCACCCCTTCTCCCCACTGCTCCTTTACATCACACCCTGCAATACAAATATGAGCAACATATATATGCATTCCTGTTATCTTAAACTAAGAGTGGTTCAGGTTTACCTTTTCACTGGGTTCAGTATAACAAAATATTGTGGGCACAGCATTTTCTTTCAGAAGCTTGTTGTTGCATTCTCTTTTAAAGCAATCGGGAGTAAAGTGTTCTGAACAAATACTGCTATACTTGGTTGGCTTGAAGTTTTTCCTTTTAACAGCTGCTTCCCATTTCTTGCAAAGGTCAGGTCTTGTAAGAGGAAACCTATAAATAAAAAGTTCTTTCAGCTTTTCTTAAAAGCTTTCTAACGTTGGGCTAGTACTACAGCTAAGCGCACGCCAGAACATCTTTGCTGCTGGGACTTACTGCGTTACCACTTCGCTTTTCCTCCAGCTGACTAATCTTCAGGACCACACGTGGCAAACAGAGCTCCCATGTAAAGGCATTGATCAGAGCTTTCGGCTCTTTGAAAAGGTATTGGGG